ATTTTTTTAATAAAATAAAAACTATATTTTCATGACCGAACCAGATTAAGAAAGAAAATGATTAAAAGGCCTCGAATTTAAATTTTGAATAGGAAAAAAAATCTCATTAAAAGTAGTAAGTACATTCAAAAATAAATATGAACTCAAATTAATTATTTATTTATTTTTTTAAAAAAATGTGTGGTCTTGAATGCATAGACTTTTGAAGTGAGTCAAAAATGGGGTCCATGTTTTAACTTTGCATTAATTTCTTTTACTCCTCCCAATGTGTTGTACACGTGTGACAATGGAAATCAACAACTTAATGGTGGATAAAGAGGGAATTACATAACTTTTGGCTGGTTTTTTTGGAATGTTCAATACTCTCAATGCAAAATGTACAATTAAATTAAGCTTGGAATTTTATTAAATTGACAAAAGTACCCTTGGTCGTCCTGGTCGTCTTCACCTTTCTATATAATAGAAATATATATATACATACACGCGTACAAAAGTTATTAGGATCGCATGAATATATGCGTCATATTGTAGATCTTCCTCATTCTCAAGATAGATTTAAAATTTGAACATTAGAAATTCAAGTTTAACATTTTATTGCAATTCATTTAATTTATTAAGTCCAAAATTTACTATTTTGAAATTTTAGACATATATATAGTCCGAGTCAAAAGTTACTAAATACTACTCTTATCTTTTATTTTATTGGTTGACTATACCCTTACCGTTAAAACGAAGTTATTTTTACCCTCGCCGTTACTAATCTCATCATTTATGCCCCTCAATTGGATGGAAATCCCCAAATTGACTTAAATTACCCAAACTATTTTAAATGACCCATTTCCATTTTAAACCCATACCCGACCCCTGTAATCTCCTGACCCAAAAAACTTCCTACTTAAACAAACTTGATTTCAGTTGATCCCACACTCTTTCCCGATCAGAAATATATTACTTTATCCCAATGAAAAGTCTTCAACCTTGATTTTGGAGTTTCCTCGTTGTTTTCATAAGTATCACTTGATAAGCCTACTTTTCTCTGCTCATTCTTCTCAATGGGCTGCTTATTACAAGACAACTCAAATCAACATTGGACTCTCAAGTTCTATGAGTCTTAACGGAGTTACAAGAACCGGAGGCTTTGAAATTGGTGGTGTTGGAGTTTTTGGACTCACCCAATTTTTAAATGGTGGTGGTGGAGACTGTACAGAAGCCGGAATACTAATCAAAAGAGGTAGTGGTGGTGGAACTAAAACTGATGCATTCTGTTGTATGTAATTGTTGATTCTCATCGGAGAATCAACATTCTGATCCCAAACATCGGAAATTCTGGGTGATGAGTCAATACTTCTGCTTGAATATCTCTCCGGGGATGATGCACTAGGCGGAGATGGTGAATAAGATTCCTGCTAATGACCATTATCGGTACAAAATTTTCTAGCGGTGAAGACGAAAGAAAGGGATACTAAGGTAGAGGAGCAATACAAACAACAAGTAGTTCCGGTGACTTGGGCTATGAATTTTTTGGACTCAAATCCACCAGTGGAGAAATGCTCAGGGATACTGGCGAATCCAAATCGAAACTGGAAGATGAGCTCTACCTACCAAAATTCTTCACCTCAACGATGGCCATCTATAATTAGATTATCTACAGAATTATAGAGGGGATTTAGAAATTCATTAGCCCTAAAGAATGTTCTTCTGAGAATGGGTTAAAAAATTTTGGTCATGAAATTAGATGGGTTGGCCATGGGTTTGGGGTTTTTAATTTGGTATGAATTCATTTAGTTTAGCGGGTCGGGTTATGATTAAAACAGAAAATCGGGTTATTTTAATCAAATTGGGCAATTTAAGTCAATTTGGGGCTTTCCATTCAATTGAGGGGCATAAATGATGAGATTAGTAACGGCGAGGGTAAAAATAACTTCGTTTTAACGGCAAGGGTATAGTCAACCAATAAAATAAAGTTGAGGGGTATTATTGACCCTTTTCCCAACATTAAATGAGTCAGCCTTTACTGTTTGATTCAATTGATTGAGGACGTGATTCTATAGATAGAAAGATTTGAAGGTTCGAAATTAGGGTAGAAGTTTTGTACGTAGCCAAGTATTATAACAATTTTAAGGGGAAGAGTCGAGGTGGGGGTAGGGGTTATATTAGTCTATTCTGCTACTTCTTTATTTATTAGTATTAATATTATTTATTACGTATGTAATGTTTTTTACTTGTTCGTTTTATTAATTGTTACTTGTTCCTTCAATGGTCGTGTCTATCTTCCCTCTTAACTATCGTAATTTTTTTTAATTTCTTTTTTGTTATTGTTATTTTGTTGTCATATTATTCTTGTAATTATGTTTCAATAATTGTTCTTATGAGTCGAAGTTATATTAAAAACAACCTCTCTACCTTACAAAGATAGAGATATTAGTTTTCGTACATCATGTCATTCTCATACAACACTTATGAAATTACACCGAAAATATTATTATTATTATTATTATTGATATTATTTTCAAAATCTATTATTCTTGTACCATTAAATAAGTTATAGGTTTATATTTCTTTTTTTTTAAAATTAAATTGGACCGATTTTATTAAACTCTTTGGCTACAGCCCAATTCAAATAAAGGTCCAGCCAGTGGCCCTAAAAATTAAAATTAAAATTAGAAATGAACTCCTAAAATCTATTTGTATCTTCTGACCATTCATCTTCCTTCAACTCTGTTGGAAAGTGTTGCAACTATGTTGGAGGTAAGTTTCTTCTGTCCCACCATTCTTTTTCATCATCTTTGAACTGATGTTATTTCCATTGCAGGATGTTGGAAACTCCAGATCCAGCGTATGTTGCCGAGTTCCAGCTTAGATTAGCTCAATGTTCCAAAATCAAGGTCTCTTATAGCTTCTTGTTTCCTTTGCAATTGTTGCTTTCCTTCTTCAACAATAATTGTTTGCTTGATGTCATGAATGTTGATGTTGCCTCTTTATTGCTCTATTCCTTATCCTCAGATTTGGGGATTGATTTGTTTATGTGCTTTCTGATTTTGCTTGGTAACTCTTGAAAACTATGATATTCCATTGTTGTTTGTGTCTCCATGACTTTATTAGCTAGTGTATCCGCAACCTTGTTTCCTTCCCTGTAAATGTGAGTGATTTGAGAACTTAGTTGTTGTAGTTTCTGCCTTATTTCTTCAATAATTTCCATCATCTCCCATGGAACTCTCCATTGCTGTACATTTTTATAGCCAGTGAATCAATCTCTATAATGACTTGTCGACAGCCATTTTCATAGCAGTAGTTCAATGACTCATAACTGGCTAGTGCTTCTGCTTCTGTGTTGGTTGTCATCCCTATGTCCCTAGCCTTAGCAAACACTAAATCTCTTGTGTGGTTTCTTAGTCAAAAACTATATGATCCCATTCCTGGTTTCCTCTACAGGCTCCGTCGGTGTTACATTTCAGATTTCCTTCTTCAGGTGGACTTCATTTTACACTGTGATAATGCACCTGAGGTCTGTAATCTTTCAATTTGCTTATAATGGCAATCCACTCACTTATTTTTTATTTCTGGTCCATGGGTATTTAATCTTCACGAACTTTCTCACCAAGTCCTGAACTTGCTCCACCATTGTGTTTTATGTAGTATTTCCTCCATACTTTTTGTTGTTCCTTCTCTTCCAAAGTATCCACATTATGATTGTTGGCATAGCTTGATATATCACTTTTAGCTTTGGTGAATCATCTTGTTTCCACCAAGTGATAATAAGTTGTTGAAGGTGCATTCCAATAATGTTTATACCTGCAAAACTAGCAAACTGCCTCGATAGCCTAGTGGCTATAGGGGTTGTTTAAAAAAGATGCGACATAGTTTCCTCCTTCTTTGTTTCACAACACCAACATCCCGAAACAATTGGAATGTGCATTCTTTTGAGGTTGTCATCTGAAGCTATTTTCCTATTCCATACCAGAAGAAATTCACCTTAAAAGAAAGTCCTTTACACCATATAAACTCATAGTCTCTTCTGCATTTTTACCAGTCAACGTTAGTTGGAATGTGATCTTTGCCTTTTTTTCCACATACTAAAGGCCCCTCTCTTTTTCCTTATCGCCTTAGCGCAGACAGGAAAATCGGCATTTCGAAAACAATTAATAGAAGAAAGTTCCCAGAATATTCAGGAAGGATGAAAGCCTTTATCTTCATCTCCTGAGACAGTTTTGTCAGCAACTTTGTTTCATTCCAACTTCCATTTAGCATAAATTCCTTGATCTCTATTTCTTCTTCAATAGCATTTTCTCCCTCAATAAAGTATAAAGCTTCCTGTTTTGTTCAGTTGTCAAATCAAAAGCTTGAATTTCCTTCATTTACCTGCCACCATATATTATGTTCAATCTCTTCCTTTATTGCATTCATTTTTCTCCACACATATGAGTGTCCTTCCCTTTTGCCACTGTTGGGTGCACCTTTTTACAATACTTATTCCACATGTATGTACTTTACAAGGAGGATGCTGAGTGTTTTATTAGGAAAATATATTTTGGACTGATTTTAAGAGTCGCCACTTAATTTTTAAAGTAAAATTAAGAAAAAACTATTGTTTTCAAAAGACTAAAACAGGAATCTAATGAAAACTTAAAGGGATTCGGGGTTCTTATTAGCATTTCAGGAAGGGTTTGAAAGCACCTGAAATGCCCGCTAACACACGGTTATCCGGTAATTAACTATTTGGCTAATTG